ATGTGATGTATTTTTTGAGTGCCTGGACGTGTTTAAGGTTTCCAGAACCACTCTTTGAAAATCACTGTTTCTTTGCTGCGGTCTTCAAAGGTGACTGAAAGAATCTTCACAGCAGCCCGCTTGTAAAGTTATTTGGGTATAATGATCCGTTTCTTATAAGGTATTGCAAACTTGTCTGCCTTGTATGGAACCTAATGCTTCATTATGCCACAGGTCCCTTATTGAGCCAGATGAATCTGCTTCATACCTTTTGACCCTCCTATTTGATCCACTTTTAATATCTTTCCATCTTTCACTGTCTCTTCTAAGTTTCTCTTCTGATTTTCCATCAGAATTGTGTATTTATTTTGTATCCTCTGTGTATACTATATGCCCCTCCCACAAATCTTCTGTATCAGTAAGGCACCACACATTACAGCCATTGAATAATCTGTAGTGAATGGCTTCTGAAGCTTGTTATGAAATTTTTCTTTTCAGGAATTTGTGTTTTGTACTATTTGGACATTCTTCTATCTTCTGGCAGCCTGCCGATGGCAAATATGATGAAGCATTTGGAGCAGCTGCGGTAAGTAATGGCAGTTTTAGCTTTCCTGTGTTACCATTTAGGTAGGGGGGGTTGAAATGATATTGTGAATTTGTGACTGAACATGTAAATTTTTTTGTTGACTCATACATTTAAATCTTTTGCAACATAAAATGATACAAATGGAACTAATGTGAAGATTTCTATAATGAATGATACATATTGCATAGATAAAGAGGTGTGTTGGACATGATTATCTTTAACGGCTAAACACCACTTAGGTGTTTATGGATAGTTTTGTCTCTGGTTGTTTATAAATACACCAGAATTCCATTGCTGCATTTGACGCTGTACTGATTGTTGTGTATATGATCTTGCAGTATTTATAAACTAAACTTTTGTGTCAATGAAGGGCATAAGGAAGCCAGATAGTTAAAGTGTTAAAAGAGATTACTATGCTCGATTTAAACACTTTTTATTTACTAGTGCAGAACGCTCCTTTCGGAGCTCCTCGGAGGGGTTGGTCAAGTTTTTAAAAAGCAAAGAACCCCTTCGGGGGGGGGGGGG